GCCCAAGGAGGCCCCGATACGACCAAAGACAGTCCCGATTTGACCCAAGACGGCCCTCAGACGGCCTAAGATTTCTCAAGACGGCCCCAGGGGACACCCCAGAGGGCCCCAAGAAGCCGAAATCGTAGATTTCGATGGGTGTCCTTGGGATTCTCGCGCTCTCAACCGTCTGGACCGCCAAGACGGCACAAGAGGCCCCCAGGATCGCCCCGAGACGGCCCAAGAGGCGTCCAAGAGAGCCCCAAGACAGCCCAGGACGGGCCCAAGATGTGGCCCAAGAGGCTCCCAAGACGGCCCAATAACCCCCCAACAGGCCCCCAAGACGGGCCAACAAGCCCCCTAAGAGGCCCCAAGACAGGCCAGAAGCCCGGTTGCCCACGAGGCCCCAGACCGGCCGCAGATGCTGTCGAGACGAGACGGCCGCAGAGGGCCTCAGACTCCGAAAAAGAGCTCCAGGCCAGGAGGACCCTCAACGTCCTGAAGCGGCGAAAATCATAGATTTCACGTTGATTGTGGATCGCACGCTGCAGCTTCTGGCATTTGCGCGACAGGAGACAGAAGCGCGGCGTCGGCAAACTTCGATTCACGCAGCCTCGTGGATTTAATCCACGGGTTCCAGCATATTACATTACCAGACTGCGTTGGCGCTTTCCCGCGCCGTGCGCCTTGGCCTCACGTCTAACATGCAGGCATAATGAGACAGAGGTAGATCAAGCAAAATTATCCTGGCAAAAGAACCTAACATCGAGTCGTAGGAGCATATCTGGAAGCATTCCCATTAAGATTCGGATGAGAATCCAGTTGTAGAATTCTGCTGTTATCGCAGTCGTAGTCGCATTCGCGATGACAGTCGCAGCGGCAACGGCAGTCGCAGTCACAGCCTCAGCCTCAGCCTGCCTCAGCCTCAGCCTCAGCCTGCCTCAGCCTCAGCCTCAGCCTGCTTCAGCCTCAGCCTCAGCCACAGCCTGCCTTCAGCCTCGGACTCAGCCTCAGCCTGCCTCAGCCTCAGCCTGCATCAGCCTCAGCACTGCCAACCTGCCGCATGCGGGTCTCAGCCTGCCTCAGCAATCAGCCGCCTCAGCTCAGCCTCAGCCTGCTATGCATCAGCATCTAGCATGCTTCAGCCTCAGCCCAGTCTGCCGTCGCCCTCGGCCTCAGCCCTCAGCCTGCCTCAGCCTCAGCAGCATCAGCCTCAGCCGCAGCCTCAGCTGCCTCAGCATCAGCCTGCTCAGCCTCAGCCTCAGCCTCAGCCCGCTAGCCTCAGCCTCAGCCGGCGATAGGTCATGCCCAGTATGCCTGCAGCCTCGCGCCCGCGCTCAGCCTGCATCAGCCTCAGCCTGCCTCAGCCTCAGCCTCAGCCTGCTTCAGCCTCAGCCTCAGTCTGCCTTCAGCCTCGGCCTCAGCCTCAGCCTGCCGCAGCCTCAGCCTGCATCAGCCTAAGCCTCAGCCTCAGCCTGCCTCAGCCTCAGTCTCAGCCTGCCTCAGCCTCAGCCTGCCTCAGCCTCAGCCTCAGCCTCAGCCTGCCTCGGCCTCAGCCTGCGTCAGCCTCAGCCTCAGCCTGCCTCAGCCTCAGCCTGCCTCAGCCTCAGCCTCAGCCTGCCTCGGCGTGCCTCAGCCTCAGCCTCAGCCTGCCTCGGCCTCAGCCTGCCTTGGCCTCAGCCTCAGCCTGCCTTGGCCTCAGCCTCAGCCTGCTTTCAGTCTCACCTCAGCTGCTCAGCCTCGGCTCCGCCTTCAGACTGCCTCAGCCTAGCCTGCATCAGCCTCAGCCTCAGCCTCCCTCAGCCTCAGCACATCAGCCTCAGCCTCAGCCTGCCTTCAGCCTCAGCCTCAGCCTGCCTCTGCCTCAGCCTCAGCCTGCTTCAGCCTCAGCCTCAGCCTGCCTTCAGCCTCAGCATCAGCCTCAGCCTGCCTCAGCCTCACCCTGCATCAGCCTCAGCCTCAGCCTCAGCCTGCCTCAGCTCAGCCTCAGCCTGCCTCAGCCTCAGCCTCAGCCTGCCTCAGCCGCAGCCTCAGGCTGCTTCGGCCTCAGCCTCAGTCTGCCTTCAGCCTCGGCCTCAGCCTCAGCCTGCCTCAGCCTCAGCCTGCATCAGCCTCAGCCTCAGCCTCAGCCTCAGCCTCAGCCTGCCTCAGCCTCAGCCTCAGCCTGCCTCAGCCTTCAGCCTCCTCAGCCTCAGCCTCAGCCTGCTTCAGCCAAAGCCTCAGTCTGCCTTGAGCCTTGGCCTCAGCCTCAGCCTGCCTCAGCCTCAGCCTGCATCAGCCTCAGCCTCAGCCTCAGCCTGCCTCAGCATCAGCCTGCCTCAGCCTCAGCCTCAGCCTGCCTCAGCCTCAGCCTGCTTCAGCCTCAGCCTCAGTCTGCCTTCAGCCTCGGCCTCAGCCTCAGCCTGCCTCAGCCTCAGCCTGCCTCAGCCTCAGCCTCAGCCTGCCTCAGCATTCAAAATGTGGCCCGGGAATGGAATTCTGGGAACTCGAAGAACACGAAGTGGCCTACAGTTGGCTCCGG